GGTTCGCCATCGCTGCTCTATGCTAATCTATCTATAATTTGTGCTTTCATCTTTCAAGTAAATACATATCCCCTAACAGCAGTGTGCAGTGAATCAGGAATTAATGGGCAGGGTAAAAGGATGTGCCACTGATGGGAATCACATAACCAGAACTGTCGCAAGGGGCGTATATACCCAAAAAGGGGGCATGTCTGCCCAAAGAATTGGAAGGCCAGCCTGGCATGTGTGCATGTCAGGCTACCTCCATTCATGGAGGTTTGCCAACTAAGGGCATACTTTGTGGACAGTACCCTGAGCTTTGCATAAATGAGTCTAATGATTTGCTCCCTACACACTAAGGACTGTCTGGTGAGGGAGAAGTCTTCAGGTGCATTGAGAGTTAGATTATTTTTCAAACCGCACATGAACAGAATGAAATTAAACCGGGCGACTCTAGTCACCATGAACTCTACAGCATGGCTTTTTGCAGCACACGATGGGAGTGGGATTCCTGCCCCATCAGTACTCTCCATGTCAGACACCAGGTGCTATGAGTGGAGGGAGAAGATAAAACATTGCATCATATCCTTGTTCCCTTTATTGCCAAACACTCCACCAAACACAGAGTGGAGATTCTTGACCTTTTAGAAATCTCACTCCCATACTGCTCATCCTTGCTATGTAGAAAAAAAAATAACATAAAAGCACCCAGAAGGGGGTTGCATTTTGCAGTCCTACCTACAGCAAATAGCCCAAGGGTAGCAAAATTCCCCACCAGGTACCAAATGGACTGACAATGACCTCTTGTAGGCAGGCTCTACTCCTCCATTCCATCCTGTATTTAGGTGCCCCACAACATATAGACTGGAGCTAGAAGCTGGGTGGTATTTGTCAAGCCCTTACCAAGTCGACTCTACCCTCTTTCTACAGGACATGGGGTGAAGGAAGTAGTATGGGCAATGTGCCTATGTAACTGGCTTGTCCAGAAAGGGGGTGGGTCTGCTCACAGAATGGACATCTAATGATGAGCTCATGCTCTGCTTGCTGGAGTACGTTTTCAAGGAATTCAGGGCCACAAGGAACCAAAATCGGGAAACGTTGGGAGGCCTCATAAGCTGTACTACTAGTAACAGCATCACCATGTGTATATACCTATAAGTTTGCTTTTGGACCATTTTTATTTATCTATTTGTGTAACATGTGAGAAACTTTTAACTTTTGCTTGCATAATATCAAGTCACACACTGTGTGAAATATTCCAAAATAAGACTAGTGGCCCTGTATTGCCTTTTTAATCCCCCAAATATTTATTTAAAGTATACAAGAAAGAAAAAAAAAAAGAAAGAAAAAAATTGTGTGCATTTACACTCCAGATTATAGCAAATATAAATCTTAATGAAAAGATTTAGCAAAAATTGCTGATTTGGAAATTCTCCCATTCAATTATAGTTGCAGTTTGGCTATAGCCTGCAAATTTTAGTAGAAAAATCTCTACAGACTACGAAGCCGTGTGAATGTACTGTTTTTATTATTCAATGGTGTTATGTTCCTGATTGTACCCAATTTTTGCATTACAGGGTAGTATCTGCAATGACTGCGTATGTCTCACATTCTGTGGCCCATGCATTCTCTGCCAGATGGCACGTGAGCTGAAAACCAGGAACTAAAGGAATCAAAACATTTGCTTGAAGTGCAGACACAGTATATAACTGAGTGTCGTATGGAAAATACTGAAAAAAGCAATAATGAAAGAAACATAACATAAATATCCTATTGATCAAAGAAAAATGCACTATGGCATTTTACCCTTTTATTATATAGTTATAAAGTTATATATGATTTTGTATGTAAAAAAAAAAAATTGCTCTAATAAAACTTGTTTTTAACATACTTTTTTAAAGGGTTACTCCAACCACCATGAGTGAGAGCCTGTATTTGCAGCATTTCAGCTTGAACCACTGCACATCCCGAGGAATCTGCACGTTTGTGCTGGGATTAGTTGTAACATGGCACACATGACTTTGGTTTCCTAATGTGAATTCTGAACAAAAGTTATGTGTTATCAGCAACAAATGTAATGAGCTTCTCCCATGCAGACAGCTTCATTTTCACCTCCATCCAGTGACAGTTATTCCTCTGTTTTTTAGAAATAAATCCCCTTTTGCCCTCCCATTTCCAGTTCAGTGCGCACGCATGGGTTCTGAGCCGGTAACACAATCCATTCAAAGGCTTCTTACTTGGATTCCAGGTACGTTTACAGCTTCTTTTGCAGGTTTGCAACCGCGGCTGGTTCCCTTATTTACCACTATAATGTCTTAAAGCATAGAACTTAGTAGGGCTAACTATACAGTTGGGTGAGGGGCAAATAAGGACGTATAGCAAGAGGAGCATAGTAAAGGGGGAAATAAGTCGGTTGAGGTGTGCCGGAACCGAGGTCGCGGCAGGCCTGTAATAATAAAAGAGGGCCCACCCATGAGATGTAATAAAAATATAGATAGAGGGAGTGGCGGGTGGGGACAAGCTAAATCGTTATAATCACGTACGGGACGGAGGGAGGTGAGTAGGGGGGTTTAAGTAGTGTAACAAGCCCCTCCCGCAACTGCAGGCCAAGCCTTCCCATTTGTGTGAGGGGCAAATAAGGCCATATAGGAAGCATAGCAAGAGGAGCATAGTAAAGGGGGGAAATAAGTCGGTTGAGGTGTGCCGGAACCGAGGTCGCAGCAGGCCTGTAATAATAAAAGAGGGCAAAAAGTTGATACATCCCAGAAACTTAGAGCAATCAACAACTGATAAGAAAACCTTAATTGCCTAGCTATATGGTAAAGCCGGTGAAAACTTGGCGGTGCGTGGTACAAATGGGGGAATATGCAGAGAGCTTCCATGACCTAGAGATTAAATATATACGAACCAAAGTGAACTAGATTGAAGCCATAGATGCCACCCTATCCTAGAGGGGGCACCAGAATTGTAGCACTGATTAAAACTGGCCCCAAGATCAATGCATCAAAGAAGGTCGGAGTGTAAGGACTGGCCCCAAGTAGTGAGATTTGTGATAGTTAGGCTTGATTAGAAAGAAAGTACAATAGGTGCCCATTCCCTTGTGGTTGATCCAAAAGAAGGCAAAAACCCAGTTTGAAGCACTTCCAATTTTACAACAAGCTAGGGAAAAATTCCTTCTTGACCCCAGAATGGCAATCAGATTTATCCATGGATCAAGCAGTTATTACCCTACATTGAAGGCTGGTGTCTGGTTCGTAAGGACAGACGTCTAATAGGTCTGATAGTGAGAACTAATTGGATGTGGATATCTGCAAGATTCGAAAATCCTGGGAGCCGGAAATGTCTTGGTTATGGTAACAAACTGGTATGAGGACATGAAACTGAATATGAAAGATAAACCTGTAACAGCATGGGAAGTTGTAATAGGTAGAGTTCACGCCAGTTAGAGGTGGCAAAAAGAAGCGAAAACCAAATGCAGACAACCTAGCAAAAGACAGTAACAGAATACGCGAAAGGAGCCGCAAAGGAGAAGGCCCTAATACATGTACTGCGAGTGTCAATAGAAAGAACCAGACGAGAAAAATGACGACCATGAGCTAGCAAGGCTGGTAGTCCGCTAGCAGACCGCGATACGCAGGGGACGGCAGCGGCTACGGGAGAGGCCGAAGGCAGAGCCAAGAGGAATGTGTAGAGGAGGCACAGGAATGATCGTATGAAAAAGGTGCAGGAAGTCAGGCTCGGATCCAGCCAGAGCGGCAGACGCCAATTACCCAAAACTGCCTATCTGAAACCGCCCTATACACAACAGTAGCGGAGGATGGAAAAGCAAACTCGGGGGCCCCTCGGGCAACAGCGTCACCCGTGGAGGCAGACAGATGCTGAGAATTCAGCTGACCGAAAAGGCTGCTAGGGAGGGAATAAGTCGACTGGCGAGAAACACAGCGAAGTGAGGAAGAGACCAGGACACAAGAGGGAGTAGCCGAAACTCCACAGCGTGATGAGTACCAGACATAGCCAGAGAGCCATGCGGAAAAATAGCACGCCAGCGCCAGGCAGTGGAGACCTGCTAAGAGAGAGACGAAGAAAACAGCAATGTGTGTGTGTATGCATGAGTGTGAGCTGGCATACTAGCAAATGCCAAAGAAGGCAAAACAATTAAACATAGGTTTGGTGACAGGTGAGGCCCTGCTAAATGCCAAGCGGTGTGAGAGGCTCTATCTATGCGTTGGCGCGAGGGGACGAGGCCACTGAACGTTGTGGCAGGGTGTCGGCCTCTCGTGACTGTTAAACATAAGATAGAATGGGAGTGACAGGTGAGGCCCTCCCTATGTCACAGTGCAAGGCGACTAACTATGATTTGGCCCGAGGAGCGTAGTACCTCCGAGTATGAGGATGGGTGTTGGCCTCGCGGGACCACTAACCTAAGGCAAAGAAGCCAGGGGGAAATTACCACTAGTGGGCACCTAGGACCCTAACAGCCAGCAACAGCTAACTAAGAGGGGATGGGTAAGGAGTGAGATAGTGGATGCACTGCATGATGAAGATGTGGCGGAGGGGTGGGGGGTAAGAGGAGGAATCATAAAGCAGACTGTAATGCTCCTTCTGGAAAATAATGGAGCACGGGTATAGCGGGCAGACTTGGCTCAGCCAAGCAGGGAAACGAAAACCAAAGGTGAATACGCGGGTCACACCCCGAGACGGGACCGAAAAAACACTTGGCAACAGCAACTACGTAGCTTAAGACTGCGCATGACACAGCAGGAAAAGGAAACACTAATTAATTTGTGGGGGGTTTTTTCAAATTTTTTTTTTTTTTCTCTATTCCTTTTTTTTTTTTTTAAACCTGGCACAACACCTAAAACAGCTTGGCAGAACACTGCAAAAAACATAATGTCACCCAGCTAAAAGTCCCTGAGTAGGTGAACCTGAACCTCTAACCATGGTACCTACCCGTATCCAGAAACTGCAAGCAAACACACGTGTGTGTGGCCACATGGCCGCCTGGCCGCCGGTGAGTACAGATGTGCACGTGCGACGGCGTCGCAGGGGGTGAGGGAATGCACAAGAAAAAGAAGAGGAGTCACAGCAAGAGCCTGCTTCCAACCCGGGCGCCCGTATCCAGCCTCCCAACTGACAATTGCCCCCAGCCTCGCACATGCACAAATAGTGCCCATCCCCACTCTGGGTCAGGAAGGGACGCGCAGCACCGCAAGAAAGCCGACCCCCCCAAGAGCCACGGTGGAAAGGGGGAACGCGGAGGACACGTTCCTCCGAACAGCAAGGACCAGAGACAACCGGAGATCCGGAGCAGAGCCCAGGAGGACCGCAGACAACGAGTAGCAGGTGAACAGCAGGCCAGGAAAGGATCCTCGAGGAGCAGGTAAGTGGAGAAATGGAGCGACAAGCGAATCGCTATAATCACGTATGGGACGGAGTGAGGTGAGTAGGGAGGTTTAAGTAGTGTAACAAGCCCCTCCCACAAGTGCAGGCCAAGCCTTCCCATATATCTTAGCCAAGTTTTATATAGTTAGTAAGAGATCCTCTATTTAAAATATATAAATAATTGAGAATACAATATAAACTAAGGATTGTCTTGAAAGCAATAAAGTTTTGTCTTTTAGATATTTGTTATATAAAAATATAAATATAGACATATAAAATCCATTACAATAATTTATAGCAGAGTTTATAAGATTAAACTAAATGCTTGCAAACATAATTAATAGGATAACATACCCTCCTGAACATGTCATCATGTCAGCCTCTCTGTCATTTTAAGATGAAGCGTCGGTCTCCAAGTCTCTCCTCTGTCTTAACATTTAAAAGTACACCTATTTATACCTTAGGTGTCTCCATTTTAGGGTTACCGTAGTTCATATATGAAAAAGTAACTTGTTTACTTTTATTCATTTTAGGACCTCCCTTAACTTGGCAAACATACAAGGCCATAACTAAAGGGTGCATACGTCATGGAAATTTTCCTGGCTTAGTTCAAGATGGCATCTTAAAGTCTGAACATCCTTAACTACTTAGTGTTACCATAGTATATTATGTACTGAAAGAGTCGTAGCATAGTCTTAAAGCTTGTTTATGCATTATTGTTATTGTATGTCGTCTGGGACAAAATGGCGTAAACATATTATGCACTGAAGGTAGGTAAGAGGTTATTGCTTAAAGAAACAGTTATGAAAAACAATATGTTCCATTACTAACACCTTGTCAGTTTGCTATGTCTTTTAAAGACATAGTACACAGTTTAAGAAATAAAATATTTGCATTTGCCCATAACAGGTTTACATGGGAACGAGAGGGGGTAATTAATAGGACCCAGTAAGACATTCTAAAGTAAAAAAACAAAAACTTTTAAATTAGCTTTTACTATTGTGGTCTACTACTATGACGGTCTTTTAGAGGAGTTACTATTAGTGGATTTTGGCGGCTGGAACTCTGGATGAGGGGTTTTGAAGCTCACAATCTCTAAAGTTGGTGGGGACAGCAGGATACTAGTGTTTTGTTTATTTGTGATTCCCCAAAAAAATAAAAAAATAAAAATACTATTATAGTGATATGGTGACCATCCAACATTTACATTTTTCATCCCAAAGAGAAATTCAAATTATGATTTGTTATGTTACACTGACTTGCTTATGTTTAAAATCTATTTTTTTTATGCCAAAAAAAAAAAAAAAGTTACATAGCTGTATTTGGTGAAACAAGTGGGATTGCAAAGTTTATAACATGCAGTGATCAAATACATACAGACACTTTGTGCTATGTTCCATGAAAAATAAAGTGCCAAGGTAATGTCTTTAATGGCTTTTGTGATCTTTCACACCTTACACATAACTATTCTTTGCCTAAACATGAATTATGAACTGTACAGGTTATGTTGCTTTCTTTGTTCCAAACAGGCTAGAACTGTCAGTTTGCATTATATTTTCACCTCCTTGTCCCACTATCAGCTGATGCTATCCCATACAATCATATGAGAGTGGCATTGAGTGTACATATAATGCCACACACATGTGCACATAATGCCAGTGATGTCACATGAGGACACCATAATCCTTACACCATGACTGCATATGCATGCTGCAGATTTCATTGCTGTCCTGTGGAAAGCATTAATGCATTGACAGTGGTACTGGGAGACTGCATATTGTAAAACCTGGGAAATAGAAGCTGAAAGTTAAGCTAAATTCTGCAAGTTTTCCCGCAGTGGTTAGTACCTACCTAATTTGAAAGTATCTAAAATAGTCACCCGTGGTTAATCTGGCTTATTTTTGCAACTCAGGGAAGGACATGAAATTACGATTCTGAAATTGCTGAAAGAATCTTGGCAGGCATTGTAAGGTTTCTGAATTCCCTATAGAACGGGGTCATAGCCAGAGAGTGTTTAGTTAAAGAATTTTCCCAAATATGGAGAAAATTAAGAATTTCCAGACAAGAGGTATGTTATATAGCCCTCTGACCTCTCAGAAACCAAATGTAAAATCAGCACCCATATAAAGAGATGCTAAATCTACCCATCTTTTCTGTTCTGGAGGAGAATGCCATGTGACTATTTGGGCAAGCTGTGCTGGAAGGTATTAGATGTAGAGGCAAAGTGGTCCAAGACTCTGTTATGATTAAGTTCTATACAAGACAGTACAGGCAATTCTATGAGGTTTATTTTGCCAAATTAGGTTATCAGTGGCAACATGGATATTAGCTAAAAAGAAACATAGAAACATAGAATATCTCCTGGTAACTGAGACAGTTAGAGCTTGAAACAAAATTCTAAGAAGTATATTCATTTTAACCACATGTGTATGACCAATCTAAGGGATAGCTTTGTCTGTCCAATTATCTAAATTATGAATCAGGGAATGGATAAAAGGGGTATAATTTTTATTGTAGAGCTTGTTGGAAGTGGGGGGCAGGGCCTGAACTGGATGGCAGTTGAATGAGTTTTTTGAGAGCTCTGAACTTCTTCATGATATATTGCCAATAAACCAACTCTCAGCATGCCAATCCACCACCAATTGAGATTTAGTTGACCCTGGAGCCAGTAGAGGCACCCTAAATAGTGCTAACGAGGTGCTCTCTGTTGTTTTATCTGGGAATAACAGTTAGGCCTAGTGAAGCCATATAGTGGGTGGGGCAGCCTCTCTCCCATTCCATGCACTCACAAAGTTGTTCTGTCTCTCTGTACCCCTCCCTTACCAGTGGAGGTTATCCCACTCCCCACTGGCTCACACTTCACACACGAGTTGACTTCTGCAGTTCTATCTATAATCTGAGCAGGCCCTAACTGCCACTTTTACTCCATGGCAGACCGCACCTTTGCCCACAAGATGGCGGACAGCTGCCTAAAAACAGAGTCACATACTACAGTCGCTCCAAGACCAAAGTGACCAGTAACTGGATGCAATCTTCAGTACATTCGAGGCTACTCTGGAAGCAAAGGTACCAACATCTCAGCTGAAACCTCTAGGTGGTGGTCGGAGAAGCAAGTGGCGGAATGGAGGAGTGCCTCCCTTAGGCACTGCTCGAACTCAAATGGGACATTACCTCTTTACTGACCTAAGGCTGCATTCTGTACAATAAAATCAGTTGTTCTTCCCAGCATCATGTGTTGTCTGATATCTGGGAAATGGAGTTATAATCGTTGGAGGGTTCCTGTTCCAGCTGAGAGGAGAATCTAGTGGAGGTATCCAGTTGGGATGCTGGCATTCCAAAGCCTATTAGCTTCTCTCAATAGAAGGTGCTGTTTATTAGGGGAGTTAAGACCTCTAATGTTTAATGCTAAAAATTGATAAAGAGTGTGACACAATCATATAGTTTTGCTATAGGGAAAAAGGTGGACTGGAAATAATTCAGGATAAGCTGAATAAAATATTAAGGAAGGAAAGGGCACACTGCTCTCTCTCCAATATCAGCAGAGACAAGAGAGGTTAGAAAGAAGAAAACAATTAAAACAGAAAGAGAAAGAAAGGGAAAATGACAAGTGCAAATGTGTAAGGCAATCACTAAAATAAACATAAAACTTACACAACTCCAGACACACATGGGGGAGGGATCCATACCCAACTCAATGCCTAGAAAGAGGATGGGAAGTTGACCCATTGGTCAAAAGCACATATATTAAACCAACTCCCATACACGTAAAGTGCGTAACCTGAGCACAAAGGAGGGAAAAACATTCAATTGTATGTCATTATCTATTGTGCTCTTTAATGATGGTTCAGGTGGGAATGTTATAGGCATTTGGCAAATTGGCAATTCAAAGAGTTTGAATCCCTTTACCACCCTATGCCCTCACAATACAATTTTCCAAAGAATGAAGCCTCAACAAGAACATTTGCAAAGATGATAGCCCACAGAGGGGCTTCCTGGTCATTTCTGCAGTGCGTAACATATGGTTGCCTTTGTTGATGTGCAACAGATGGGCTGGGATGTCAGTCAATAAAGGCCTTTAAAAAGCCAGCAGTTTAATTAAACTGCCCTCTGTGGACTACTCTGGCAGCTCCTTTGACCATAGTTTATTTCACCTAGATCTGTAGGAAAGGTCCTCAATGGCCTCTTCAACCACCTCCAGGCAAGTAGACAGTGGATAGCTTAGAGACAAGAGTAGGTAGGATCTCTCACTGGACAATGTCTGCCACTGCTTCTGCTACAGCTCTCCCTTCAGGACTCTTCACTTTAATGCTGAAACTGTCATAGAGAGACACAAGAGGGAATGTGGAGAGGGAGAAAGAAACCCACAAGGGTGCTAGAGCACACACACAAAGTTTGCTATATTTTGTTTTGGAGGTCTGAGTAGGGCGCAAAATAGTCTAGCACTGGCCCTTGTCACAGTAGCCGAGCTCAAAAAACTCTCTCCGACAACTAACTATACTTCACCTTTGTCTACTTTGGCCTAAAAGTTGAAATTCACTTAGAATTTTCACTTTAGTGAATAGTCATGTCAATGTAAACACTAACTCAATCCTATGTAATATATAAAGGCCTTGGTGGTTCTTTATTTCAAAATACATGTCTTTGCATTGATCATTAATAATTAGCATGACATATCCTTATTTTGTTATTACCTTTTCACTACTCAGAGTTGTTTTCTTTTTCAAAGTTTTTTTTAGGAGCTGAGATTAGCAATAGTTGAGCTGTGCAATTCTATTGGTCGCCCAGTAGTTTTTTTCCCCCCATTTTTGTATCCAGCTACCATTTGTTTTGGGGGGTTTTTTTGTTTCTTTTTTGTTGTTGTTTTTTTCTAAAAAGTTTAATTGAGGATCTGAATAGAAGTACAGAAATTGTAAAACAGTACAATACATTGGATATGACATTTTCATTAATTTTGGACATGTAACATTGTGTTCTAAGGTTACAACTAGACATTTGTGTGGTCTTTACGAACTGAGATATTGATCTATGCCTCTTGAACTGCCTTCTGGATAGGGATTTTTTTAGGTTAAAACTTTTTTTAATTTTATTTACTTTTATACTAATGTGGGCTGAACCACTGAGGTATAAAAGAGGGATTAATAAGGGCACATATAGCTGCCCATAGTAGAAAGAATTTGATCATTAGTGTATGCTCTGTCTTTATTTTAACCTTTGAGGAGGGGGAGGAGATTGGGGCATGGGGGGATGATAACTTTAAACTAGGCCATCCAGGCCTTCAAGGTCTGGAGAGGGGATATCCAGATGTACTTCTCTGTATCTGAGAAGGTAAGGGAGCCTTAGGTGTTGGTGGAGAGTCAGGTATTATATCTATATTAGAGAGAGCTGTTTAAGTCAGGGTACTGTTCCACCCTCGGCTATTGCTTAGAAATTCGCACCATGGCCTCCAGTGGTGATAATGTTTGGATAAGGAGTAACAAATTTCTTCCATTATCCAGGTATACTCTCAAGTTTCTGAATCCAATCCCTAGCCGACGGAAAGTTTGCCCTTTTCCAAAAGATTGGAATGAGCTTATTTGCTGCTCTCAAAAGGTGTTGGAGCAGGGAGGCTTGAGCTTTGGGCAGTGTTTGCGGGAGTAGGAGAAAAGGGAGGACAACTGGTTTTATAGGGACTGAAACTTCCAGGATATTTTGTATGAGTGCAGCAATGCGTGACCAGTAATTCTGTTTTACGGGGGATGTCCACCATACATGGGCCATGTTGCCCGAGGTTTGGTGACATCTCCAGCATTGGCTCGATGTGTGTGGAAACAATTTTGGAGTTTGACTGAGTTCGACTGCCATCTGACCAGTCTCTTATAATTACTTAATTACTCTCCTGTGTGGCAATGTTCATTGAGGATTTCTGAGTAAGTTCAAATATCTTTCTCCATCTCTCAGCCATAAGGGATATATTGAGTTTTCTTTCTCAGCTAGTTGTGTAGATTGGAACTTGTTTCGGTAGGGTATTTTGCAGTACGGAATACATGGTGGATACCTGTTTCGTCTTGATTGCCTTTGTGTAGGAAATTTGTAAGTTGGTTATGATGGAATTTTTGTAACACTGATTGTGTCCTATCTGGTTAGAGTTTGTCTAATGATTTTATCCCTGAGTCATCAATGAATGCATTCAAAGTTAGATATGGAGTTGTGTGGTATTGCTTGTAGGTAGAACCAGATTCTCCCGGTAGGAAAAGTGGATTATGCGAGATAGGGTACAAGGGTAACAGGTATGGTGAGATGTCGTGGTGGTGTCTCACATGCAACCACATCTGTAGCGTTGGGGTTATGGTCGGATGTTGGGCGTGTTTGAGGAAAGCTTGCCCTGTTTTATGCCAGGGGATTGTTTTAATCGGGACTCTAAAGTAATAGTCTTCCAGTGTGACTCATTGCTAGTCTGAACATGCAATTGACCAATCGTATATTCTGGCTAGCAATCTGGCATTATGATATATTTCTACGGTTGGTCGGCCCATGCCCCCATCATCCTTTGGTTGTATAAGCAGGCTGTAAGATAATCTTAGGTGACCAAATAAGGAAGTGAAGTTTACGGATCGTAAAGAAAAACGATTTTGGGAGTGTTATGGGGAGCACCTGTAAAAGGTAGAGGATTCTAGGCAGGACATTCATTTTTAGGATGTTTATTCTGGTAAACCATTCAAAGTATGGGGCATGTCAAGCAGTGAGATTGTTGTGGACCAAACCAAGTGTTTGATTATTTGAATAATGTCCAAATTGTTTAAAATAAATGGGTGCACGCTCTGAAGTAAATCACACCAGACACAAGTTTGCAGGTTATATTTACTTAGGGGGGCGGGCAGCCCCTTATAAAGACAAGAATACATCATATGCAAAATGTAGATATGCATATGCAAATATAGATATGCATATGCAAAAATGTTGATAACAGTAAGAATACATCTTTAATTGGTTAGGTGTAGAGTAGAGCGGATACCTGGATGTTCGGGTCCGGCGGGTTCAGCCAAACTTTGAAAAAAAGTCCGGGTTCAGGCTCGAACTTGACCCCGAACTTGACCCCGAACTCGAACCCCATTGGAGTCAATGGGGAACCGAACTTTTGGCCACAAAAATGTCTCTAAAAAACTCCTGGGAAGAGCTAGAGAGTGCCCTGCAAACAAATGTGGATAGGGAAATCACTTAAAATAACATAAGAATTAAAAATACAGCTGAGCCATAAAATACCACTAGATGGAATCTTTGATTTTAGCTTTGGAAGAGCATAAATCAAAATCTAAAGCATGGCTGTCAGGAGGATCACCAGAATTATCCATTTGAGAGAGGGTTGGAGTGTAGGGTATTCTCTTTCATTGTTCAAACTAAGCTTAACTCCTGATGCATGGAGAAAAGGCCTTCACAAGCCTCTGCTAATGTGTACATAGTTTATACTAAGTGACCCATAGGTTGAGGAGGCGGTGACGGTGACGGTGGCGGTGGAGGAGGAGGATGAGGTAGCCAATACTGTTTTTTTTTTTTGGTAATTGTGGTAGCCTACAAAATATTGGGACATACAACAAAAGAAACATTTGCAGCCTGCGGTGCATTTCTTGCAGTCCTGATGCATGGAGAAATGTTTAACTCCTGATGCATGGAGAAATGGCCTTCACAAGCCTCTGCTAATGTGTACCTAGTTTATACTAAGTGACCCATAGGTTGAGGAGGCGGTCGACCATGGCGGTGGAGGTGGAAGCAGCGGTGGAGGAGGAGAATGAGGTAGCCAACACTGTTTTTTTTTATTTTTTTGGTAATTGTGGTAGCCCACATAATATTGGGACATACAACAAAAGAAACATTTGCAGCCTGCGGTGTATTTGTTGCAGTCCTGATGCATGGAGAAATGCTCAACTCCTGATGCATGGAGAAAAGGCCTTCACAAGCCTCTGCTATTGTTTACATAGTTTATACTAAGTGACCCATAGGTTGAGGAGGTGGTGACCGTGGTGGTTGTGGAGGAGGATGAGGTAGCCAACACTGTTTTATATATATATATATATATATATAAATACAAAAATAGGTAAGCAAGGCACTCCTCCCTGAAATTCCTCTTATAATAGATTAAATGCCTAGGTGCAATCCCGCGTCCAAATATGCATAAATCAATAAGGGGAGCACACCAGGACTTCAGTATAGTGAAAAAAAGTATTTACTGTATCAAAAACATGGTACAAATTCTGTGCAAAGGAAATCAACGTTTCGACCCTGCTGGGGTCTTTATCAAGATCAATACTTTTTTTCACTATACTGAAGTCCTGGTGTGCTCCCCTTATTGATTTATATATAGCCCCCAAAATATTGAGACATATAAAAAAAGACAACTCTGTTCTGCAGAGTAGCTGTTGACATTATAGTTGCGCAGAAACTTTGTTGACTCTAGAGAACCTTGGGCAAATTGCACATCCCCGTGGCGGCGACTTTGCATGCGGATGTCATCCATATCAACTTTCGATGCCAGTTTCTGCGCCTACCATGGTGACCACGGGTAATGGGGAATCAGAGTTCCATTCCGTACAGGGACCCTGAGAAACGGCTACCACATGCAAGCAAGGTAGCAGGCGCAAATGACCCACT